TCCCATAAAATACAAAGATTATATAGGGAAATACAACTGGTCAGTTTTGACCCCTTTACGAAGTTTTCCCAGATATGCCGAGTTTTTTGTGACACCCCAAGGCGTTCTCCTACCACCTCACAAAATTTCAAGGGGGGTCGTCGGAGGAATTTTTTTTCGTAATATAGCCCATATAAGGCGCCGGTCAGTCGAGTTCAGTTTTGACCCCCTCTCCGTAGACTTTTCGGCGAACCGTCACCGGCCCTCGTGTTCTATCGCCCCAAGGCACCATCGTGCCAGATTTGACGCGCCTACGGCGCCGGGAAGGATTGTAGGAAAAAAAATCACAGGAAAAAAAACACAGGGAAAAAAAAACAGAAAAAAAGTCACAGGAAAAAAAAGTCACAGGAAAAAAAAGTCACAAATATATATTTGCATGATATTTGTTAATACTTTTATGTATTAAATATTTAGAGAGTGCAAATTAACTTAGGATTAATTGAATGTAATGTTATGTGTGTAGGCTGTATACGCATAGGAATTTTTATAATTCATCTAAAAATATTTTTTATGAAGTATGTAGATTGTAATTATTTTAAACTTAAGATTAGTAGCATTTAATAGAATGCTCCAAAATCCACGTTTTTCATCGTGTTTTTTTTTTTAAATACCAATATTAAATTACCGTTAAATGGTAAGTTCATCTGACTTGCTGCCCTCAACTCATGGCAACAATAGTTATGTTTAGTTCAACCACCTTTACTGCCCACATTTATCACGCTCATTACATAACAAAACTTAGGATCAAAACAGAAAGCCGACAAGGTTCAAAGGCTGTCATTGACGCATAACGTCAACAACACAAAATATGTTCGGACAATGCCTACTGAGGAGAGGCCGACCAGAGAATAGCCTACGGCAAAATGTGACTAAATTTCTTTTATATTTAACTTTTCTACCGCGTATTTAACTAAATACGTAACAAAAGTTGAGATTATTGTGTTAATTATCTTAGAGTATTTTTACTTACAATTGTTGTAAAATCATAATGTTTTTAACGTCTATAAATAATTTATGCTATCAAAAAATACAACCCACAACAATAAACATACAAAATTTACAATTCTTAACAAATTAATAAAAATATTTCTAAAAAGATTTTTGTGACTTTTTTTCTGTTACTTTATTTCTGTGACTTTTTTTTCCGATAAAATTTTTCCACTGTGACTTTTTTTCTGTGACTTTTTTTCCTAGCAAAAACTGTGACTTTTTTTCTGTGTTTTTTTTCCTGTGACTTTTTTTCCGTTCACCCCGGGAAGTGCCCGATGCTCTTGACCACTTTGCTTTATATCTATCTATCTATCTATCTATCTGTCTGTCTGTCTGTCTGTCTGTCTGTCTGTCTGTCTGTCTGTCTGTCTGTCTGTCTGTCTGTCTGTCTGTCTGTCTGTCTGTCTGTCTGTCTGTCTGTCTGTCTGTCTGTCTGTCTGTCTGTCTGTCTGTCTGTCTGTCTGTCTGTCTGTCTGTCTGTCTGTCTGTCTGTCTGTCTGTCTGTCTGTCTGTCTGTCTGTCTGTCTGTCTGTCTGTCTGTCTGTCTGTCTGTCTGTCTGTCTGTCTGTCTGTCTGTCTGTCTGTCTGTCTGTCTGTCTGTCTGTCTGTCTGTCTGTCTGTCTGTCTGTCTGTCTGTCTGTCTGTCTGTCTGTCTGTCTGTCTGTCTGTCTGTCTGTCTGTCTGTCTGTCTGTCTGTCTGTCTGTCTGTCTGTCTGTCTGTCTGTCTGTCTGTCTGTCTGTCTGTCTGTCTGTCTGTCTGTCTGTCTGTCTGTCTGTCTGTCTGTCTGTCTGTCTGTCTGTCTGTCTGTCTGTCTGTCTGTCTGTCTGTCTATCTATCTGTCTATCTATCTGTCTATCTATCTGTCTATCTATCTGTCTATCTATCTGTCTATCTATCTGTCTATCTATCTGTCTATCTATCTATATATATAAAAAGCAATGTATGTGTGTCTGTGTGTCTTTTATGCATTACCACATCTCTTATCACATTGCCGTGAAACTTCGGGAAGTTGTTGAGAATATTCCTGGGGAGGTTTCTGCGAAAAAAAATATTTCAAATTCGCAGGGGTGGCGCCCCGGTAGGGCGCGAATGTTTTTTCTCTATATACGGTATATAAAAATAAAAGTCTATTTTGATTTCACACTGTTCATCCGATAGGCAAAAAACTTTGGGGAGTCCGTTATAACCCTCTAGGGAAGAGTTCTGTAAAAAAATAATTTTTAATTTCGCAAGGGCGGGGCCATGGGAGGGTGCGATTTTTCTCTATATACAGTATATAAAAATAATAAAAGTGAATTGCAGTGCCACCGTTCATCCGATAGGCATGAAACTTTGGGGTGATGATTAGGACACTCTGGGGAAGGGTTCTGTAAAAAAAAAAATCATATTTAATTTCGCAAGGGCGGCGCCACAGGAGGGTGCGATTTTTCTCTATATACGGTATATAAAAATAATAAAAGTGAATTAGTGAATTGCGCTGACACCGTTCACACGATCGCCATGAAACTTTAAGAACATGTAGAGAATATTACTGGTGAGATTTTTGCGCTAAAACATTTTCAAATTTGCAAGCGTGGCGTCCGGCAGGGCGCGATTTGTTTTTTCTCTATATGCGGTAAATAAAAATAATAAAAGTAAATTGCGGTGACACCGTTCACACGATCGCCATGAAACTTTGGGCAGATGTTGCGAATATTTCTGGTGAGGTTTCTGCCCTATAAACATTTTCATATTCGCAGGGGTGAGGCTCCGGCAGGGCGCGATTTGTTTTCTCTATATATATTGTATATAAAAATAAAAGTCGATTGCGGTCTCACAACGTTCATCCGATAGCCATCAAACTCAAGGGACTTGATAAGAACACTCCAGGGAAGGGTAAAAAAATTATTTTTAATTTCGCATGGGCGGTGCCACGGGAGGGAGCAGTTTTTCTTTATGTACGGTATATAGAAATAAAAGTCGATTTTGGTTTGACACCGTTCATCCGATAGGCATGAGACTTTGATGAGGTCATTAGAACACTCTAGGGGAGGGTTTAGCAAAGGCGGCGCCACGAGAGTTTGCGATTTTTCTCTACATGTGGTATATAAAAATAATAAAAGTGGATTGTAGTGACGATGTTCACATGATCGCCATGAAACTTAGGGAAGTTGCTAAAAATATATCCGACGAGGTTTAATCAGAAAAAAAATTCACATTCGCCGTAAGTGGCGCCTATGCGGTAGTGTAATCGAGGGGGGGTGCTCCTGAGAGCGCCCCTCTACGTCCCTGACACATGGGTGGTAACCGAAATGTGTTCTACCTGATTATTTCGGTGAGTGATTAATGTACACATAAGGTTTTCACGCGGTAGTGTAGGTAAACCCGTGTCCCGGTGTTTATGATCCAAGCGCAGGCATTGTTTACATTTAAATAACTCACTTTTAGAAAACAAGGTTACGCGTCTAGGATTGGTAACGTATGGATAAAACCCTTCTTCTATCCCCGCGGCAACGCGCGGGGACGGGTACGCTAGTCTATCTATCTATATATATAAAAAGCAATGTATGTTTGTGTGTCTGTCTGTGTTTCTTTTATGCATTACTACACCTCTCATCACATTGCCGTGAAACTTTGGGAAATTGTTGTGAATATTCCTGGGGAGGTTTCTGCGGAATTTTTTTTTCAAATTTGCAGGGGTGGCGCCCCGGCAGGGCGCAATTTGTTTTTTCTCTATATACCGTATATAAAAATAAAAAGTCAATTTTGGTTTGATATCGTTCATCCGATAGCCATGAGACTTTGGGGAGTTCATTATACCACTCTAGGGAAGAGTTCTGTAAAAAAATAATTTTTAATTTCACAAGGGCGGCGCCACGTGAGGGTCCGATTTTTCTCTATATACAGTATATAAAAATAATAAAAGTGAATTGCAGTGACACCGTTCATCCGATAGGCATGAAACTTTGGGGGTGTTCATTATAAAACTCTAGGGAAGGGTTCTGTAAAAAATCATTTTTAATTTCGCAAGAGCGGCGCCACGGGAGGGTGCGATTTTTCTCTATATACAGTATATAAACATAATAAAAGTGAATTGCAGTGACACCGTTTATCCGATAGGCATGAAACTTTGGGGAGTTCATTATAAAACTCTAGGGAAGGGTTCTGTAAAAAAAATCATTTTTAATTTCGCAAGGGCGACACTGTATCATATCAGAGGAGAGAATATAATTTTTTACACACATTTAAAGTGTCAATTTTTTGCATGAGTCTTTGTTTGATAATAGGAACAGTATTGAAATAAACAATACATTAATACTTATTACTTTGACGTTTAAAACTTTATATTTTTTCTCTCTCTACAACTCTAGATTCTACTTTTAATATTTAGATTCTATGCTTAATAATAAACATCACCAAAAGTATTAAATGCGAACTCAATATATGTTATTGCAATATTAATAAATTTTAAGAAGTCAACTAAGTGTTTGTGGGGGGGTCCTATTCGAGGGGGGGGGGGGGCGGTGGAAGAGGAGAGGTTCGTGGAAAGTAGACGTGTCTGGACGGAGGGGAGTCTAAAAAATTATAAATTGTGGACGCCATAAATAAAGTAACCCGTTCTATGAGAAAAAAAAACCAGATTCTTCAAGCTTGACAATGACAAAGTGTCTTTCTTTACCGATTAGTGAATGACACACTTCCTAGCATCTTATGTGATGTAAAGGGTCAAATCCCGATACTTGATTGAAGTATTATGAGCGGTTAAGCTAGGTGTAATGAAGTATCATGTGCTCTCTTATCATTATCATAGTGATAAACTAAAACAAGATAGCAAATAAATATAAAGTGTGTAGGAAGCTGAAGTATAGTGAGGATGTTGTCTTCTAAAAAGTACTTCTGCTCGTTGTCTAGCTATTAAATATTTCGTTATTTAAACAGACCACATATTATTGTTGACAGATCCAGAACATCCGGCATACCTAGTGTTATTAACTACAATAACTAGATCTAGACCTACTAGACTTACTAGACTAGATTCTAGATCTACCACTATAGATCTAGATCTACATCATTCTTTTTTAAAGTCTACAGTTAACTACAGGTATCCAGAAATCTATATTCTAGATCTAGACAGATTCTATATTAGGCATTTTGATGACAATTAAAAAATATATAAAGGGTAATCTATCGTTTTGGGTACGTAAAATCGCCCGCGATTTGTAATGTGAAAAACAGGTGACTCCTTAAATTTTAATAATTATTTCACATTTTGGGGAGGATTTATGTTTTAAAAAATTCAAAAATGTTTCCTTGATTCATTTATGTACCTGTTTTTAAACAATTGAATTAAAACTTTCCCGTAATAAATGAAGACTAGCGATGTTTCCAACAGATGCAACCATGCTCATTTACTATAGCAGCCATCTTGTCTAAGTTTAATTTTTATAAGCTTTTAGCGCCAGATTCAGGGGGAAGCCACTCTATTTTACAAATGGCTGCTGTTTACATAGCAAATCTTGCTCTCAGACACTGCTGTTTAAAGTTAATTTCTGGCCTATATCCATATATTTAGCCATTGATTTAGGTTTATTATTCATTTATCTATAATATTTGACACAAAAGTACGACAATATACTTCTATTAAAGCCTTGACAATGAGGTAACGTTTTCGTACATAAATAGCCGCGGGCGATTTTACGTACCCAAAACGATAGATTACCTTAAAAAGTTATCAGTAGGCCCTAACAGTGAGTTAACAGTAGGCCTAATATTAATAATATTACTAATTAAATATAGCTAGGACAATGGTAAACTAAGTTAAATTAGCATATAGATTATAGGCCTAGATCTATTAACTTTCTGGTTAAAGTCATTATGACAGGGTCCGTAGCGGACCTTAAATCCTTGAAAAACCCTTGAATTAAAAAAAGGCCGATTCTAGTGGGAATAAGATACGCATGCGCAATGGAGAGAAACTACGACTTAACGGCGATGTTTTCGATGGCACTGCGCATGCGTGTGTTTACAACCGCAGAACCCTAATACCAACCCTAATCCTATCCTTAACCCTATCCCTAATCCTAACCCTAGCCCTAATCCTATCCCTAACCCTAGCCCTAATCCTATCCCTAATCCTACCCCTAACCCTCATTCTAACCCTAGCCATAGGTCACTGCACATGCGCAGAACTATCTTTTGCCGAAAAATCTTATTCTGAGTAGACACTTTGTTAAAAAAAACATCTCAAGGCCTTGAAAAACCCTTGAATTTCCCCAAAAATGAGCAAAAACCCTTGAATTTTATAGGTAAACCTTGAAAACCGTGCATACATCGAATTTCTTTTTAATTCCTTTCCGATGGACCTAAAATGTATTTTTCTGGCTTTTTTTTATCGTTGATGAGTCTGCGTAAACTTAGTAAAGCCTATTATAATACTATTTCCTACCCTCTCCTCCAGAGCCTTTGTCCAACCAAGAACAATCTGCAAGGCAGCAGTTGTTTAATTTTGGAGTTGTCTCTCCTAGAAGAGTGGCTGTCCCCAGCTAACGAGCCTCATCTGCCCGAGGGTTCGAACTCGAGACTTTTCGGTTTAGCAACCATGAGCTTTACAGACTCGACCACGCCGACCCCTGATGTTTACTTTGATTAAGTTCGTTTAATTTCATTTATTAACACTCAGAAGAAAATAAAAATAGTCAAGGAATCTTGGCCATGATAATATTTTTTGCTAAAACGATGCTATTTTTAGACGGTTGACGGGGAGTCACCAGTTTCACTACCGCCCAGAACCGCATCTCCGTTATTTTAAAATGTATTCGCCAGAAGCTGTCACCAGAGTATATTTAAAAAAAAAACCAAAGGGAAGCAGCTCAATTAATATTTTCAGAGAATCATCTAGACATGACTATATCTCTTCAATAAAAAAACAAAACTTAAATTTTGATTCTTCTTCTTCTTCTTCGTTCTTAATTATTAGTGTTGAAGGGGATCCAGATTTATCTGCCAGTGCGTTTGAACTCGAAACTTTTTTTTTTTTCGAATTTATCAACCATGAGCTTTTTTGCCGACTCGACCACGCCTTTAACACAATTAAGCGTTACGTGTCAACTGGTTTTGCGCCATTGAGGCCATTGACTCCGATTTCAGCCTGCTTTTCTTTTTGGATTTGCTTCCATAGCCTTTGTCCAACCAAGAACAAACTACAAGGCAGCAGTAGTTTAATTTAGGAGTTGTCTCTCCTAGAAGAGTGGCTGTCCCCAGCTAAGTTTAAGTTTTTTTTTGTTGGTAAAATTATAGTTTGAGATTCAGGGGAAACAACTCTAACTTACAGATGGCAGCTGTTTATATAGCAAAACTGGCTTGCAAACACTGCTGTTTAAAGTTAATTGATTTTGGTTTATCATTCAGTTTAGGCCTATATAATATTTGACATATAAACAGTGGCCTTCTGTAAATTTGAGTGCTTTCCCTTAAATTTCAAACTATAATTTCCCAAAAACTAATCCTAACCCTTTGAGCCTGACAAACCGGAAAACCAGCTTCAAGATCAGGCATATATGTCCAAAAAGCTGGTTTTCCTGCCCGATCTAGTGTCATGGTCCTCGGGGCTGGTATAACGTCTAATTAAATATAATTAGCGGCGGACTGAATAAAACTGCGTATATATCTTTTTAGTGCGGGATTATGATTCTAAAAATAGATTTTGGGAAAAGTGAAACTGTTTGCATTTCATAAGATGTGAATCATTTCAAGGACGCAATCACTGCATATTTACCGATCGATTCTATACATCTGTCAATTTAGCTGAGTGCTTATTTGATATACAAGGTACAAGATTGTTTGGTACAGCAGTGACAAACAGTAAACAGTTTCCAAAGGAACTTGTAACAAAGAAAATGGATCGTAGGACTCATAACATGTTGTTCAATTGCAAACGACAGCTATTGTGTGGGGTGATAAGAAGCCAATTTACTTTGTATGTACAAAGTATATCAAAGATACAGAGGTAACTGTGCTGCGTTGTCACAAAAAAAGAAGGGAAAAGAATTCCAATATCATGTCCAACTGCAGTAAAAGCATATAATGCTTACATGGGAGGGACTGACAAAAACGATCAAATGACCAAGCTACAAAAATCAAGGTGCCTTTATAATGGCCATGGCGTTTGATGGTAAAGTTTTTTTATGTGGAGTGCCTACCATGCTTACATAATTGAAAAGTGTACAAACCACAGAATCCACCTGGAAAAAATCTTTCCATATGTTTATTGACAAACTCTGCCATGAATTAGTTGGAAGGAGAACTTCATCAGATGAAAGATTGACCAATGAAGGTAATATCCCAGTGCACTTACCTGAGAGACCACCAGGAGCAACAAGCAACAACAGATGTGTGGTCTGTTTGGAAATTACAAGCGAGCAAAAAGAGCAAATCCTAATGCCAATGACAAAGACTTGCCAAAACAAAAAAAAAACTGTTTACTGGTGCAAAGTTTTTCTTTGCATCGGGTCCGGCAGTGATAACTGTTTTGAAAGTTATCACACAAAAGTGGACTTCTGGCGATGAACTAGTATGGCCAGGTATCAATAATAACAAAACAATTACTAAATGTAAATTTCTTTCTTCTGTTCTATCAAAACAATAATTATGTGTTCGTTTTATATACATTGTTATGTTCATACATTGTGAAAAAAAAAAAGAATTTCAGAATCTTGCTGCATTGTTGTTTGATCCTGAGTCTGGATAACAAATTTGGTTCAAACGGTTCAAAAGTTATAGGCAAAGTTAGAAGCAGATAAGTGAAAACTGTTTTGGGCTTGGGAGCAGGGGGGGGGGGGGGGGGGGGTCAGGGCTCAAAGGTTTAAAAAAGATGGTTGCTTGGTTAACAAGTTTGCTGTAATCTGATGAGAAGTTTTAATAACATTGTTTTAAAAAAGGTACAAGACTGTAAAATTGATGAATAATTACAAATGTTTAATCAAACACATATCAACTTTATATCAACTTCAGCCGATTTTAAGTACCTAATACAATACATTACCAAATTTTGCTATAAATAGGCCCAATCATATAAGGAGGAAAATAGATTTTTACAAAAAATTGCGTATTCGATCTTCACTATTCTTCATTGTTGGATGATTTTGTTGATATTAATATATAGGGCTTTTGTCTTTTGAAGTTTTGTGGGGAAAATTTTTGTGGTATAAGTAATTTGACGATATTTTATGTCACAATTCTTTTTTTAATTAGATTATTTTACATTAAGAAATGAATGCGGTAAATGATAGGCCTAAATGTTAGATAAAGTTATTTTTACAATTTTAAAACTTTTATATGAAGAACACAACCTATGGTTTACAGTAACTGATGTTTACAAAACTAAACAAACATTACAGGATAATTTCATAAGCTATATTTTCAGTTTACCCTGAAATTAACACAGCGATGTTTGAGAGCAAGATTTGCTTTATTAATAGACTGTCTATATTTAACTATTTAGTATTTAATTATCATTCTGCAATAAAAAAAAATACTGGGTTGAAGATATAATAAGAGGTCACTATCGATAGAATTACATTTTTTTTGATAAGTCTGATTAATTCAATTGGGTTAATGTTATGATATGTAACAGTTAGTCTTTTTTTTATTGTTATGGTAGAGCTAAGGAAAGTTTAAAAGTAGGGTTTGATGATATGTTTAGATTACTATTGGGTGTTGTTAAATTTCAAAATGATAAAAAATAATTTTTATTTATCATACTGCTGTTAAGATATTTGAGTTTTAAAAATTTGGAATGTAATTTGTCACAATTTTATTGATTGGTGTATTTGAAATTTGTGTTGGATTAATTGTTAAAGTAGGTCAAAACATTGGCTAAGTTTTAAATTAATTATACTTTTAGTTTATGTTAAATTTTTATAGTTAATATGTTTTAAGTTAGGGTTCTGTTAGAGCAACTGATAATTTGAATGGGAGTTGGAGTCCAGGGGCAGTCCATTATTGGCATCAGATTCTTGGAAGTGATGAGGTCAATTTGGACGATGTGTGACGAGCAGAAAGAGACTGGGGAATAAAAATGTCTCTCAAGATTGATCATAAACT